ACTTCGAGAGCAGGTTCCTGCCTGAAACCTCGCCCTCTAGGAAACAGCTGGGGGAGGGCACAGCCGTTTCCAAGATGACTCCCCAGGACTGACTTCCTTCCGGTTGGTTGTGCTTCTGGCCATGATGTTACATCCAGGGTTTTTATATAAGTAGATGATATTTATAGTGTTAAACAACTTTTCTTCAACTTTTAGAAATAAGTTATGAACAGACCCCAAGACAATCATTGTTACAGAAGAATGTTATTATTTTCAATTTTGACAATATTTTTAAAAGTGCAGGTACCTCAGTTTGTCAAGTGGAAACTTATAGGTGAGGAGGAAGGAAGAGCAGTGATGTCAATACCTTCATATTCCAAGAAGGCCATACTTAAGGGATGAAGATACAAAAATAAGTACATGTAAATTAAAATAGTAACTGAAAGAAGGATGATGTAAGGTGACTCATGATTTAAGCAGAGTTTTAGAAGTTGGACTATTATTCATTCCAAAAAAAATCCTCATCCAAATCTCGAGGGAGTTCTGAAGCTTCAGGAGCCCTTCAGAGTTGACCCAAATTAGGGTGAGGCTCGGGACCTCCATAGCCCCACACTGAGCAGTCACTGGAGAGTTCCCCCTGGGAAGCGGGCTGAGAGCTGAGGACTGTCAGCCAGCAACTGAGGGAATAAATCCTTCAGTACTGAAGGGAGGAGACTAGGTGGATCAGGACAGCATCTCTACAAAAGCACTTGTTCTAGTCGCTGGGATACAGATATTTTGGGCGTTGAAGAAAACAAAATAATAAATGTTTTTTAAAACTTTATCATCTCTTAAATTCCATTAACTCAACTGACTCACCCTATTAACTTATGAACTCTGTTCCTTAAGTTAAACATGCCCAGGTAGTCAGGAGGCAAGGTTATGTTGCAGTAAGATATTAACCTGCAGTAGAAATTTAATCTTGGTGCCTTAACTTAATAAAGAGGACTCAATTCTATAAACATTCAAGGAACTCGGCTTATGAAGTTTCCAACATCTTGGACACCATCACCTCAACAATGGCTTCCAGAGAAAGACAAAGTGGACACAGCTAACAACCATTTTCAAGTTCTATTGGCTGGTTCTAATCACATGTTTACAATCTAACCACACAGGAATCTGGGAAATGTGCACAAGCTTATGGAATGTTGATGACTGTCACTGTCCCAGAAAGACATACTGACTGATGTGATGGAGGGTAAAGCCACAGGATAAATACCAGCAGGTTTTTCTCTAGAACACCCATACATTTCTCCAAGATGTTCGCCAACTGAGACTGAGCTCTTTTTTTGTAGAAACTTGTTTCTAAAAGATGTACTGTTATTTTGATTAAATTATTAGTTAAATATTATATTACTTAATGAAATCTGGGCGCTAAAAAGAAAAATACTTGTTGCTATGAAGCTGTCACTGGAAGGGAAGAAGACTCTGACCCTGTCATTAAAAAGAAGATCCCAGCGGGGGCCAGTGTGGCAGAGTGGAACCATAAGAATGCCCTATACTCTACCACTTACCTTTATAAGAGGGCTTACATTTCAACTAGAAAATTCAGATCTCAATGTCTGCCTGAACTCTGGCTCAGGTTCAGTGTCTAGCCCTGCCTCTTCTCTTTGTCAAAAGCAAAGTGCTACATTTAAAGAATAAGGGCTCCCTAGACACCCACACAAGTGCCCCCCATTTCCCTAAGTGTCACCCCTCTTGACTCCTTTGATAAATGTCAATGTCCACCCTGAGGAAGATGACAAAACCATCACAAAACCTCTGACACTCAGCATCTTGTTCTGAGCAGATTCAGACTATGACCTTGGGGAGCAGAGTCCTTCTGAGTGTATCTGCCCACACATTCACAGTGCCCATGTCTGGTGACCTGTATTGCAGCCTGGGGTACAGAAGACAATGGATAAATACCAGCAGGTTTTTCTCTAGAACACCCATACATTTCTCCAAGATGTTCGCCAACTGAGACTGAGCTCTTTTTTTGTAGAAACTTGTTTCTAAAAGATGTACTGTTATTTTGATTAAATTATTAGTTAAATATTATATTACTTAATGAAATCTGGGTGCAGAAAAAGAAAAAGAAAAATACTTGTTGCTATGAAGCTGTCACTGAACGGGAAGTAGACCCTGACTCTGTCATTAAAAAGAATCTCCCAGCAGGGGGCCAGTGTGGCAGAGTGGAACCATAAGAATGCCCTATACTCTACCACTTACCTTTATAAGAGGGCTTACATTTCAACTAGAAAAGTCAGATCTCAATGTCTGCCTGAACTCTGGCTCAGGTTCAGTGTCTAGCCCTGCCTCTTCTCTTTGTCAAAAGCAAAGTGCTACATTTAAAGAATAAGGGCTCCCTAGACACCCACACAAGTGCCCCCCATTTCCCTAAGTGTCACCCCTCTTGACTCCTTTGATAAATGTCAATGTCCACCCTGAGGAAGATGACAAAACCATCACAAAACCTCTGACACTCAGCATCTTGTTCTGAGCAGATTCAGACTATGACCTTGGGGAGCAGAGTCCTTCTGAGTGTATCTGCCCACACATTCACAGTGCCCATGTCTGGTGACCTGTATTGCAGCCTGGGGTACAGAAGACAATGGCCCCAAGAAAGCCTTGTTCTCCATTCTGACTTCATCCAGGAGAGGAGAGGGGAGGAGGGGATACCTTCCGTTACCTCAAAGACAGGCTCGCAGCCAGCTGGTTGTATAACAAACCCAGAGACTGAGATGGAGACCAGCTTTCTGTGCTGGCCCATGTCAAGAGAGCCTCAGTGTGCAGGGACCTCTTTAACATCTGGGAAGAGAATATCAACAGGAATCAACAAGTCACTATATTCACAGACAAGGAAAGTTCTATCCTTGGGGAATTCCAGCTCAGCAGTGACATCAAGTGACTACAGGAGACAAGGGGTGAGAGGGGTGTAAGTCAGCACTTCCAGCAATGCACCAAAACTCTGCCATTCATCTCCTGGGTCCACAGAAACAAACTGCCCCTTATGCCACTCCACGGTGATGGGGTTGGAGACTGGGGTGCTGCACATGGGGGTGTAGACACCTTCACACTAGGCAGTCATTACAGCATCACCAAGATATGGAAGGCCCAGTCTATGTTCCTATTAAAGGGGGGTGAATGTAAGGCTGTCTGCATCCATGTACATGATGATGTTTTTGAGAGGTGTGCATGTTATTAAGGGGTGGTCAACCAGAATCTTTCCTAAAATTGTTCAAACTTTGGTAGACACTCTAGAAATACAACAGAAACAGGCAGTCACATACCTACACAGAAACAAAGATAAGTTCTGCGATGATAAGAGAGATGCAAAAAGTAGAGATGCAAAAAGAAACACAAAGAGATCAAGAGATGCAGGTAAATGGTGGCAGAGGTGTAGCTAGAAATAGAGACGGAGATGCAATGAAAGAGCAAGAGACACAGGGATGCGGAGACAGACCAAAAAAGATGCAGAGAGACACACTGAAAAAATATACAGGAACAAAGAGAGATACAAAAAAAGAGAGAAAGGTGCACCGAGAATTATAACAAAAAGAGGAGAGACAAAGACCTCATAGAATACCTGGATTCAGTCTCTTCTGAAATAAACTTGACCCCAGGTTTCCTTGTAACATGAACAAACTAAACTTCAGTTGTACTTCAATCATTTGGAACCAAGAATATTACTTTTATTGCTGATTATACTTTTCCCAAAATAAAAATTTACAAAGTGGTCCCAGTGATATTCCAAGTACCCACTTGGCACTGTACATAGTTATTACAATATTATTGACTATGC